AAAGATGGGAAGAATGTATAAAGCACTTCTGCAGTACACTGAAGGCTGATGGTAGTCTTGTGGCAAAACCCTTGCTCAATTATTTCAGTTTAGAGCTGAACTATCCACCTTTCCATGACACACCATTTGTACTTGACTTACTGACATACTGATTATTCAGACATGACTATTTGTCAGTGTTTGTTGCAAGTGATAAAATTTGAACTTTAAACAAAAATTAGCACTTAGAAAGCTTGTATCCACCACCATGAACTTGCCTATTGCCCAATAATTAAAGAACTTTTGCTGAGGTTGGTGGTCATATTAACAAATGTTGCTTTTTGATGTTTTGTAATGAAATGTGAAATGTGTCGATATTTGGGAGATATGCATAAACTCAGCAAAACATTATTTTCCAAATGCCCACTACATTGAGGAAATACCAGAAAGTGACAGGGATATCAGAATAGACAGTGAAGTGCAACAAGAGGAAATCTATGAACAGGCAATATGGTGTATATCAAGCAGATTATTAGCAGCTAATGTGGTCCAGGAGGTTAATCGTGGGACAGGAAATAAGGTTATCATGACAAAGACCGTGACCCTGATGGGAAGAACTAGGGTCTGGGGAGAGCACTCATTCTTAGAAAAATGCATGTATCTGATCTGATCAGAACAGGACTGGGGACAAAAGCAATACAATACCTGTGGTTTCTAAGTCTTACCAGCCTTTTAGTTCCACTGCAGTCGTATGAACAGTCATACCAGAATTTTAGAGTTTGTTTTTCATGTCTGTTGACTCGGAACCCAGTCCCCCTGCAGAGTTCCTCCAAGTATTTCTGGGCATTGTGAGGCATCCATATATGTTAAGCAATAAGTTCATTTTCATGTTATGTTGTACTGTTTCCCAAGATCACCTTGTTTCTGCTTTTTTTGTCTGATTCAGCAGTTCTCTAGTTGCTGCCCCCAGGTCCTCAGAGTGTTAAAACCGCCTAGTATAGCTGCCCAACATTGTGTAGACCACATTAGAAAACCGAGTTTCCAGTGGTTTACTTACACCATTCCCTCTCTTCTTAGAACCCATTTGGGTACTGAGTTGAGGGTGGATTTGAGTTAGCAGCCAACAACCATGCTGTATTTCGTTCAAAGACTACCATTCTGGTCAGAGGTTCCTTTACCATGTTTGACCCCTTCTTTTAACATAAGTTCTCTGACAGAAGCCATCATATCTCTTTTATAAATATATTACTGTTGGGTAACCTCCAGTTCTCTTTTCAAGCCCAGAAATGTATAAACATAGCTTTATTTCTTCCCTTGGTCTCCTCTCATCTCTTGCAAAAGGACTTCTGTTTGGTTTGTCCCACTAGCTGGCCAGACATACTTAAAACTTGGTGTTGGAAAAAGACATTTTGTAAGCTGAGCTCTCTGTCAGATCTTGTTCATTTGATTTCAACACACATTTGTTGAGTGTCTTCTTTGGTGCCCGGTACCATGTTTGATTATAAGAATACAAAATTGGATAGTGCTTTTTCAGAGTTCAAAGTTAAATCAGTAAGATGCAAATATACACAGATAAGTGTACGAGGTGTGATCAAACAATACGGTGAACATTTAAATTTTAAAAATGTATTACAGTAAAAGACACATTGTCGTTAATCCCCCTCAAAGTACTCCCCCTGGCTTCACACACACTTATCCCATCATTCTTGCCACTTTCTGAAGCAGTTCTGGAAGTCCTCTTTTGTGAGTGTCTCTAGTTGCGCTGTCGTGGCAGCCTCGATATCCTGAATCATTTTGAGTTTGGGGAAGAGCCAGAAGTTGCATGGTGCCAGATCCAGTAATATAGGGTGGATGTTTTTATTTGACAGAAATCTCTTAACATAAAGTCAGGAGAAAGGAAAATGATATTACAGAAAGAGAGATCAGGAAATTTAAAAGAGGGAAAGCAGAAAAAGGTGTTTTGAGGGAACTGCACAAAGATTGGCATAGTGTTGATGTGGAGTATTTTTGGAGGGGACGCCAAGAACCAGTTTGGAGTGAGATTTTAAAGGGTGTCAAGGGTCATTTTTGTTTTAAAGGAAAGGTAAATGATCTTTTTATTCTCTTTATAGAAAATATTGCAGATTTGTTGTTCTAGATTATACAAGTAGTCAGGAGAGTTAATTGGTAAAAATAGTATGAGTCTTAACATTTTAAATTTTAAATGTTTGTGGTAAATGTCTTTTTTAAAAATTTTTATTTTTGAACATTGTACTTTGAGATAGTTGTAGATTCAGTTGTGAATTGCACATTATGGACTCTCAGAAAGATCCTGTCTACCCTTCATACCATTGACTTTACTCAGATTTCACCAGCTACATGCACTTATTTGTATGTGTGTTTGTGTGTGTGTATTTAGTTCTGCATAATTTTATCCCATGTGTAGATTCATATGAGCATACCACAATCAAATACAGAACAGTTTCATCGCAGGAGTCCCTTGTGCTGCCTAGAGGACCTTTTTGACTTAGTAAGGAGCTTAGACTGTATCCTGTAGGTTGGTGTTTCTCAAAGTGTGGTCTTCAGAGACACAGAATCACCTAACGTGCTTGTTAAATGTGCTGATTCCTACGGTAGAAACATTGAAATAGAATCTCTGTGACTGTGGCCCTGTGACCTACATTAAATAAGCTCCTCAGGTGCTTCTTATACCATACCTGTGAGATGACTTTGAGCTGACATCTGAATGATAGAAGGAAGCCAACCATGCGGAGACCTGAAGCAAGGAAGTCTAGACAAATGCTGTCCACTAGGAGTATAACACAAATCGTATATGTAATTTAAGAAATTCTCGTAGCCACACTAGAAAGTAAAATAAGAAACAAGTGAAATTAATTCTTACAATATATTTTACCTAACTGTATATATTAAAAATATTATTTCAACATGAGATTAATGTAGAAACTCTTAAAATATTTAGCATTCTTTTTTTCTACTAAGTATTCAAAATCCAGTGTATATTTTACACTCACTGTGCATCTCAATTCAGATTAGCCACATTTCAGGTGTCCAAGAGCACACCTGATGAGTTGCTGCCATATGGGGCAGCACAAATCAAGACAGAACGAAGAGCCAGTACAAAGGCCCTAAAGGACATTAATGTAGAGATGTGCATTTAACATCTGGAAGTTGACTTTTTGGCATACTAGAGCTTTGGAATCAGATCAAAACTAGATCTGTCACACACAGTATAATTTTCAGTGATTTGCAGTGAAGACTTATTGGAATCACCTACAGGGCTTTTTCTAACTACATGCTTGTGCTCCAAGATGGCGTGGAAAAATCTTGGGAGAGGGGTAGAAATGGGGAGATGTGTATGGATCTCAGGGACGGGGAGGACATAGGCAGTTACAAAGTTTCTCCATCATTGATTCTGATGTGACCCTTCCCTGCAGTTCTGACTCCTGACATAACCACTGGTGGTTAAAAGGGAGAGGAGGCTAGAAGATGCTAAGGATATGGAGAGGTGAAAAGAGTGCTAAAGAGGTTAGTAAAGGAGGGGCTTCAACAATGAAGAAAGATACATCAAGCTGGAGGAGGTCAAGACATTTGCAAATTAAGATAGTATTGATAATCATTGAGGACAAGGTTGAAGTAGAGTGGTTAGCAGGGCTAAGATGGGTTCTGAAGATGCCAGTGGAGACAGAACTGCTTAGCGACCTGAAGTTCAGAGCTAGATTGACAGCAACAGGGGCACACTGTGCCCCCCACCCCCACCCCAGGCAGAGCTCCTTAAATCCTTCCTTTGAAGTTGTTTGAGGTCCTCTCTTATAGTCCTTATAAGCTGTTGCATTTTAGTTAGTTGTTTGTGTTGTAGATCTCTGTTCTCACCCTGACCACACTATAGAATCACTTGGGGAACTTTTAAAACGTACTCATTCCTAGCACCCTCCCCATCTCAGAATAAGTCAAAATTTCTAGGAGTTGGGCCTTAGGATAACTATTTTTTAAAGCTTCCCACATGATTCTAATGAGCTAGAGTAGAAAACTACTGATATATAGCAGAGTGAGTGCTTCTATGACAGAAAATAAGTTTTATTCATCTTTGTGCCCCCAGAATTTGACTCATTATGTGGCATATGGTTAACTCTCAGTAATGTTTGTTGAATGAATGAAAAATGAAAGAGCTAACAAATGTGGCTGGGAACAAGACAGGAGACTCTTGCAGGTAGCTTAATAAATGATCATTTCCTTTCTTTATAATGAGTAGTTACCAGACAAGTTATTAAATAGACTGCACCTGTTTTGGAATCCTTACCTATTAGTGTGAACTGTTTTTATAAATTGGTCTAAATCACAGTATTGATATAAAATCAATATTAATCAAATATCAAAAATCAATATCAAAATCAAATCAGGTATAAAATAGACTACAAAATTCTAAGGGCTATTCTCTAAGTCTTTGTTTAACTACACATATCACACTATGTGAAATATTGTAGTTAACTGTTCCACTGAGTACAATATACAAGAGAAATTTTTGCATTCAGTATAAGAGATATTTGCCATAAATTTCAAGTAAATAAGTTTCAATTTTCACAAAGTTTACTACAACTCAATATCCTATTATATTTAAATTTTAATGCTGTGGTTATTCAAAACATCCTATTTACAGGAGTATTTATAGCTCTGCATTATGACTCTTTTCAGTCCACTGCAGTAACTGATTTGACTCTTCAGCAGTTGCCTTTTACCACTGTTAGTAACAGATAAAAAGAAATAGACATAAAATGTTCTGCAAAAATAAAATAAGCTGGTAGTCACTAACGTGATACGTCACATGATAGTTAAGTGGAATTTCAATCCCAGACAGAGTTCATAGAGTGCTCCTAACCTAAGAGCTGGCAACTGCTGGGCACCTCAGTAAATGCTCGTTCTCTTCCCTCTGCTTCATGCATAGCTAGTGCTGTGGAAAGGGTTTAGAAAATCAAGTTTGATGTGATACAGTTTAACATTCTAAAATGGAATTAATTTTCCTGCAGATGAAAAGAAGTCAAGAAGTGATAACTAAAAACCATAATCAAGAAGAAATAAATATTCTTCGTTGTTGGAAATGTAGAAAATGCATAGCAACTTCTGGTTGTTTCATGAAGCATCTTGAGAATCAAGTGAATAAGGTAAGTACTGCTCACTCTAATCTTCAAATAGTTTCCTAGGGTAGGAATGCCGTGGGCACCCCCAACCATGCACACATCCCTCCACACCTGACTTGGCTTTTACCTAATGTTACTTGGCCCACTGAAGACATGTCACAGTGGTATTCAGAAGGCCTCCCACCTTCCATTCGTACAATTTATTTTACCTTTAGCTGCTAACATTAACATGACCTTAAAGTTTTAAGTGCAATATCATAGACACACAAGATTAAATACAATAACAATCCATGTTTCTTTTATCCCCACCATGAGTGAACCTTAGTCATCACCACACAGTGAAATTCAAGACTCTATCAAGAAATGGAAAACCTGTTATGTAGTATTTTTTAGTATTCAGTATGGGCCTAGAAAAGAAATTCCGTGTATAATTTAAAAGTCAGTAGGAATGCCTGAATAATATTCCAAAGCGTTTAACAAAATGCTTTTTTATTTAACAAAAATAAAATCCCTGACCTTCTCTAAGAACAGTATGAAAGCGGCAATATCAAAGAGGTGCCATGGATTACTATCCATGGATTTTACAGGGGATTCTCAATTTAGCAGAGAGAGTGGCTGTAATCACCTAGTATTGTTTTCTTCCCCTTCTTAGAGAGACACTCCATTTTGTTGTTGTTGTTGTGGTGTGTTTTGTTTTATTTTGCCTTGACCACATTTGATCATGGTTATTTCCTCTGTGCTCTAACATCTTCATATTCTCCGAGGCCTTTTGTGTTTTCTGTGAAATGTCTTTTTTTGTTCTCTGTTTTTCTATTAGATAGTTTTGTTTTGATTTCTGGAAGTTCTTTATGTATTGTAAATACTAATTCCTTGTTGGTTATTGTATTGCAAATACCTTTTGCTAGTTTATATGACTTGTATTTCACTGTGGTATTTTTTTTTTTAAGTTTTTTATTGGGGAATTGGGGGAGGGAACACGACTGGGGAATTGGGGAAGGGGAACAAACAAGTTGCTGTCATTTTGTTCTTCAGTCTAGTTGTGGAGGATGTTGCTTCACTGGCCCAAGTTGGCACCATCATTGCGCTCTTCCCGGGCGAGGCAGATCAGTCGCTGGCTTCTGGACGGCCGCTCACTGCGGCTGCTGGCCGCTCACACTGGCTGCTGGCTACACACGGTAGCCCATGGCAACCCACTGCCACAGGGGCTGCAGCCTAAGCCGTCGCCGGCGACTCACGGCAGCCCAGCTCCAGGTTGAGCTGTTGTTCAGCATCTTAGCTGAAGAGGGCAGTGTCACTGGCCCTCATATGTGGGATCCGAACCAGGGCTCTCTGGCATCCCAAGCCAGTTCTTAACCATCGCGCCACTCGGCCGGCCCCACTGTGGTATCTTTTGATGAACGGAAGTTCATAATGTAGATGAATTTATTAATCATCTCCTTTATGTTCTGTACTTTTTGTTAAGAAATTTTTCTGTACCCTGAGGGAAGATTTTTTTTTTCTTTCCATGGAATGCCAAAGCTGAGATAGGCAATATTCCTTCTGTGTTCTGAGTAGCAGTTTTATTTCTCATTCACTCTTAGGCTCAGATTACAACCCAGCTTTTTGTAGGGGGTCCCCCTGAGGGTCTCCCTACCCTAAGCAAACCCTGTACTTTGTCTCCTGTCTTCCACAGCCATGCACACATAAAATGGATCTCAGAACAACATATTAGTTCAGGAAACTGGGGAAACAGTATGCACAGCTGTTGGCTCCAGGACCACAATTCTTTATCCCTGACCAATGCCCGGAAATGAAAGTCTCACACTCTGGCCCTCACACCTCCCAAAAGTAGGACCTGGACACTGGGATCACTGTAACTTTTGCTGCAGAATCACAAAGTACATCTGAAACCAAGCTTGCTAGAGGAAACAGCAGAAATGCCGTCCTCACTGCTGCTTTTCTACTATTGAGCAGGTGTATCAGCTTAGGGAAAGCTGGGTCATTCGTGGAACTTGAGCTGAAAGGAAATCTGGGATATTGGAGCTTTAGTTTTCCAGCCGCTGGCATGTAGTAAAGCATGTGACAGGGAATTTAGATCAGAATTTTGAAACAATCTATAATGTCTACAGGGAGAAAGGGGGGCTCCTACCCCACCTTCAGGCCTGAGATACATGAAATGTGGGCAAAAACCAAAATCAAAAGCCAAATAACAGAAACCCTAAAAACATAGAAATAAAATAACAGAAATGGTCTCCATTTGTGAAGTCAGGGGCGGTGGGAGAATGGTGACCTCAATTTTAGTTTTTCAGTCAGTTTTAATAGACTTTGGACAAGTCAAGTTTATGTAGCCTAAAGAACATTTAAAGTAGCGATTTTGGGGAGGCTGCTGGTTCCACGGGTATGGAATTCAAACCAGAGATCTGAACTAAGTGGGAGATCTGAACATACAGGTGGTGAGCGAGGCTGTGAGAGCAGATGAGATCACCATGCAGATTGTGAATGAAGTGAGAAGAAGAGGGCCCAGATATGTTTAAAGGATAGAAAGGAAAAAAGAACCTCACAAAATGGGAGGAAGATAAGACTAAAAAGCAGGGCACAGTGTTAGTGAAAATCAAGGAACACCTCCCAGGGGAGGATCAGTTAGTAGTATTGATCGGCGTGGGGCACGTGCGAGACCCACCCTGCCCTCCATGTGCCCGTGGTACATTGCACAGTTCTAGGGGTGCTAGTCTGGGAAGGCGCCTGCCTGGATTTGCACCGAGTTGGCATACAGACGGTATGGCCATGTGTGGGGAACCTGAATGAGAACCGAAAGTGCTTTGTTTTTAGCAAAGAGGAGATTATTGGCCAGCGTTCACTGTAGGGTGAGAGTTGTAGGGGCAGGTACCAGATTCCAGTGAGTTGAGGAAAATGAAAATTGAGGAATGGTCCAAACTTAGCTATATAAAATATTATAATTATTCAGCTATGACTCTTTCCATTACCAGGCTGTGAAGTGTTTCATCTTTGTAACACCATTGCCAAAACTGTGGTGGCTATAAATATGATTGATGATTGTCGAATTGATTATGGCGTATCTACTTCCTCCTTCACCTCTTTGGATAGATATTGTGCTCATTGTCTCTCTGGCTTTATTATCCTGGCAGTATCTTTCCTTCAGTGGCTATAATATTGAAATAAATTGTAGTTTTATTAATTATTACATTTTAAGTAATTTTATGTTCCTTTTTCTTAGTGTCAACATATATTACATAGCTTACCACTGAATTGTGTCCCCCTGTTCCCAAATGCATATATTGAAGTCCTAACCCCCTATATGACTATATCTGGAGGTAGGAGGTAGGTTTAGGCAGTAATTAAAGTTAAATGAAGTAATAAGAATGGGGCCTCAATCTGATAAGAGGCTGTGGCCTTATAAGAAGGGGAAGATACTGCTCTTTCTCTCAATCTCTCTCTCTCTCTCTCAATACCTCTCTCTCTCTCTCTCTCTCTCTCTCTCTCTCTCTCCTCTCTCACTCACACACACACTCACACACACTCACTCACTCACTCACTCACTCCCACTCCCCATGTGAGATGTGAGGACACAGTGAGAAGGCAGCCATCTGCAGGCTAAGAAGAGAGCCCTCACCAGTACCTGGACATTCTGGCACTTTTATCTCAGACTTCTAGCCTCCAGAACTGTGAGGAATTTACTCCTATGTCTGTTGTCAAAGCCACGCCGTTTATGGCATTCTAATTTGGCAGACTGAGCTGACTAAAACACAGCAGGTCCTGTAATAGGCACTGGAAATTCAAAGAATGGCAGAAGAGAGATGTTCAGCCCTTGTGAAGCTTTAGAATAGTGCTCAATCATAAATATTAAATTTTTAGCTGCCTAAGTGTCAAAAGTGGAATATATAGGACGTCATAAGAATAGGATACAGACAGGATTGGACCTCGTTGTGAGGAGCAGGCTTTTCTGAGGAACTGACTGATGTGGAGATAAGGTGGACAAGTATTGAGGGCAGTACAGGAGGGAGAACATTCCACGCTTTGGGATCAGCAAAGGGATCAAAGGCCCTGTGAGGGAGAGAATGTATCCCTGGAACTAGATTTCCATGATTGGAGTTCAGAGAGCAACAGGGAGTTTGGCAAGATTTCAGGCTAGGAAGATGGGTACTGGTTAAATCACTTATTGTTTTATAAGCCAAATTGAGGACTTTGATTATTATTCTAAGAGCTGGGAAGTCACTGAAAAGGAGTAACATTGTTGAAATTTTGGCTGTATTGTGAAGAGTGAATTAGGAAGGTAGTAAGAATGGATGCAGGGAGACTGTCTGCACTTAAGTGAGGCTTTCAGTTTTTTTTTCCTTCATCCTGACCTTCTGAATAAAAAGATTTCACCCTTGAAGTACATTCTCAAAGTACAAATAGAAAAACCAGGCAGTGTAATAGAATTTGGTTCTGTTACATTTGTAACACTTCCAACATTTAATTAATAATGCTAATGCAAATGACATTTTTGTTACCTGATCTTTTTCCTCTACTGTTTATAGCTGCAGTTTAAATAATACAGTTGACCCACTTTTAACGAATTAGCTAAGGGAATGTTAATTGCTAACATTGGAAATGTTATGTGTTAAACATTTCAAAACATTATATAATAATATTAAATTGTCAACTTTTTACATTTAACCTCTTCTGCTTAAAAACCTTAAATATCATCAAATGATAGTAATGTATGCAATACATTTGTAATTTTAAAATTAAATGAAGTTCTTGTACACAGCAACTGAAAACATTCTCCATTCTCAAAAAAAAAAAAAATAACAATGCGTTAGCTCCACCTGCTGCTTGGACAAATTATTTCATTTATGAAATATTTTGTCAACATTTTATGCCAGCATTAAATGAAATTGTTAGTTACTTGTCTCTTCCCTTCCTCCTCCCCCCACATGATAAATTTGAGACATAAAAAGTTGTCTAGTAAGGATTTTTTAAATCCTAATACAGTTTTTGTAATTTTCAGTTTAAGTTTTTTCCCCAAGGAGATAACCTGTTGTGCCACTACTTTAAAGGCTTTAAATTCCTCAAATCAGATTGCTTCCAGTTGACTCATCTTAAAATACACCCATTAGAACTTGTTTTATCACATATATTTGTGTGATTTTTTAAAGTGACTGTACACTTATACACTTAATAGCTTGAAATATCCTATTTTATGTAAAAAATTATATTGGAAGTAAATGTCAATATCATTTTTTCCCCCCTAAGGGGTTGTATTTGAAAATACAGGTGAAGTAGTTGGCAGCCTCATTTAGATTTGAGGCTCCTGTGTTTACCCTGGTGTTTCTTTGTCGTATTTAAGTTTTCAGAAAAGAAAACAAAATACTATACACTTTTTTAAAATTATTTTTTGTGAAATACACATTTTTTAGAATTAGTTTCAGCTGTACAACACAGTGCAATAGCTATACTTTTTACCCCTTGAGGTGACAACCCCCTTCCCCCAATCCGCTGCCCCACTTCCCCCCCGAATATCATACATATCTATTACAATTCCCTTGACTCCACTCCCACACTATACTCCATGTCCCGTGACTATGTATATATAATACTATACACTCTTAACTCAGTCCTTATGCTCCTCTCACCTGCATCAGTTGCTGTAACTCATTTTCCTCTTTTTGTTGACATGAAAGTATGCTTCAACTTTTAACAATCTAGAGAAAAATGTGTGCTTGCTTTATATTAATAGTTCTCAAATGAAGGAAATTGGGATGGGGTCACATATCAGAATCAACTGTGGAATTTCTTCTCAAGCTACCTTCCCTCTGTAGAAGTCAGTGTATTGTTTTTGGTTAATTTAAAAATAAGTTATGTCCCAGGTTTTTGTTTGTTACGTAAGCTTAGGAAAGAATAGTAGTATCATGCCTTAAAACATACATGGGATAAAGATGTAAGAAAGTTGATTGCCCTAAAAATGATAGTATTTATTTGGTATAGGAAGCTTAGAGACTTGAGGACATGAGTTCTGAAGCGAGACTTCCTGGATGGAAATCCTTCCTATGTGACCTTGGCCAAGTGATATATAAGTTACTTAATTTTTCTTGTTTCAGTTTCCTTATCTGTAAAATAGTAAAACCCCTCAACAGTGCCTGGGCATAGTAATCACAATACAAATGTTTGTTACCTTGTAAAAATAAGAATTAAGTACATTGTAAAACTTCCTTCACCTACCTGAAACTATGACTCTGATATTTATTCTCATAGGAATGTTCGTAAAGCATTTCTAGAATTTATAGTAGACAGTGGTGCCTTAGCATCATGATCAGTTTTATGTGATTAAATATTAAGATCACTTTCTATGCTTAAATGAAATAATGGAATATGCACAATGAAATAATAGATTGAGGAAATAAGTGTAAGGTATTAGTCCTTACACATAGTCCACATAGTCCTTGTGATATAAGTAAGTTTCTTCACTTCCTTTGTATGGTCCAGTAATCACTCAGTATTGATAGGTTGATTGCCATTAACTTACTCTCACATTAATATTCTATTATTCTTTGTACCAATATAGAAATATTTATTTATTTAACTCACACATAGACACAACCTTGAAAAGTCAGGAAAAAAATAAGTAACAAAGTAAAGATGACTGTATTTATTTGTTAATTTTAGTTTGTATTCCCTGAGGGCCTTTAAAGAATTCATTAGAGTTACATTAATCTGCATTAAATGTCAGCCCCTAATGGAGGGCTAATGTATTATGCCTATGGCGAGTATTCTAGTCTTCAAAAATTTTATCTATACCTCCAATTGTTTCCGAGGCAAAGTATTTGGGTAAAGCTATACTGCTTATTTTTGTGTCACTTCCAATCAATTTCCCCAGGTTCTTTAAAAAATAGAGTTGTATAGTCCATTTAAATTTGTTATAATGGATCTTGGCTCATATAAAACCAAATTGTTAAGAATTCAGATTTTTAAATGAATGTTTTCCTAAGAATATAGAAAGGAAAAACAAGCACACTTTTATCAATGCACATTTTTGGCAGTTTTCAGTAGTTTGGAGAAAATGCAAACTACAGGGCCTAGGGAAAGTGAACGATAATGATTGCAGTAAAAAATATGGAGTGCCAAAAAATTTACACATTTTAAGAGATGTTATCTATGTATTACTTTTCAAAGTTGAATTGAATTACGGTAGAAATGTGTAGTATGATGTTTGCTCAAAAGATGGCGTTAATCAAATGAATGCTAGCATCATTCATTGTATTACAATTTTAATACAGTTTATTCCTTCCTTAAAATGTATATACATTTTTTTGGCACTCTCTATGTAAAATTTTATATAGGATAGGCATTTTTGTCATTTCCCAAGCGTTTATTAAGTACCTATTATATTTTGGGCGCTGTCTTGTGATCTGAGGGTACAAAGAGGACTAAGATAGTGCATGCCCATGGAGCTTTCCAGTTAAAATTTTAGGATTTTTCAAGTGTTTCTTGATCACTTTTCTTTAAGGATATTTTTATTAATTTTTTTAAAATCAGTTTTATTATGGTATAATTTACATGTGATGAAATGCACATTTTAATAAGTTTTGACAAATGTATGCATACTCATGTACCCGCCACTGTTATCAAGATGTACAAAATTCAGTCTTTTCTAGTTTCTTATAAATGTAATCATATTTTATGTTTGGCTTTTTATGCTCAGCATGATGTTTTTGAGATTGATTCATGCTGTTGAATATATTAGTAGCTCATTCCTTTTTATTACTGAGTATTGTGTGGATCCCATAGTTGTTGATGGACATTAGGGTGTTTGTAGTTTTGAGCTATAGCAAAGTTGCTATTTGCTTAAAAATCTTTATGTAGACATATATTATTATTTTTCTTGATTCTTACTAGGAATTGCTCTATCTCATAGTAAGCGTGGGCATAACTTTTTTAAGAAACTGACAAACTCTTTTCTAAAATGACTATACCATTTGCATTCCTACCAGGAATGTAGGAGCGTGTGAATTGTTCTGTGTCTTCTTTGTCAGTGCTGATATGTCCAGTTCTTTTTTCTTTGGTCTATCCTTGAGAATGTTCCATGAGCACTTAAGAATATGTGTATTCTGTCATTTTGGAATATAACGATCTAAAGATATTGATTAAGTCCATTTAGTCTAATGTATCATTTAAGGTCGATATTTCCTTACTGACTTTCTGTTTGGATGTTCTATTCATTGCTGTCAAGAGGGTAATCATGTATTTGTCAGTTTTTTCCTTTAAGTCTATTAGTAATTGCATTATATGTTTTGGTACTCCTGGATTTGGTGCATATATATTGATAAGTGTTATGTATTTTTTATGAATTGCCCCCTTTATTATTATAAAACATTCATCTTTGTCTCTTGTGACCTTTTTTCACCTTTCCGATTTTATCAGTTGTAATGGTAAGAGCATGTCTAATAGCATACGCCAGCACTGCCAGAATCGATATTTTATTTTTATTTGAATCAATTTTTAAATAATTGTTTTTTAATTTTACAAGCATAATTTAATATATTGTCCCATTAAAACAATTATGGTAACGTTGAACTCTGATCCTGGGGAAGAGTAGGTGGGCAGGAGCCTCACCCTCCCCTCTCCTTCTCAGTCAAGACTTTTCTGTCATTTCATAGAAAGACATTTCGTAGACTCGGAAGAGACCTTAGCAGTTACCTAGCAGCATTCTTAACAGGTGAAGAAATGGAGAGCAGAGAGGTAAAGCAATTGGCCTAAGGTCACATAGGTAGGAAAGAGCCACATCTCTCTCCACTGGCTGCCGTGCATTTTTCTGAATTGGTGGGAAGCCATACTGTGTCAACTATAATCACATTTATTTCTACAAATCTACTTCAAACAGCCAAAATTGCCTCTCTTGAAATTTTTGTTCTTATACAGCTAAAGTTTAGTGGGGCTTTTCCAGCTGCCTACTCAATTGCCTTTCCTTGCCATCCTCTTGCACTTTTATTGAGCATCTTGATAAAAAATATAGGAACTCTCATTCTGGCATTGGTAGAATCCAGATAAAATCAGAGATTGAAAGCCGAGAAGGTTGTCATGCATGGCACTGTTTTTTCTTACACACAGAAAAAAAGGATAAGGCATTGGATTTATCCATTAAGTAATTTACTGCTGAATTTTAAATTTAATTGATGAACTCAGTGAAATGGAAACTCTTTTTTAAAATTCACAGGTGATTATTCCTTAATTTTTCTTTTTTGTCTTTGTGGGTTTGCTTTTGGAGATGGGACTAAGGGCAGTGTGTATTTACCTCATACCTGAAATTGAATTTATATTTTTGTGTTTTACTCAAATATGAGATTTGTGAAATAAATTCTGAACTGGTAATAACTAATATGCATTTTGATATAACAGGATAGATGTGATTCAGATGATGATCAGAATATTTGTCATGTGTGGCACATGAATATAGAAGCCCTTCCAGAATGGATAAACTGCCTAATACAAAAAGTAAGTTCATAGTTTCAGAGTAAAATTAGGCATATGGTACCGTCAGAATGTCTTTGTCTTTGTAGAGTTCTTTTTCTTGGATGCATTATTTCAAGAGACATGAAAGGATGTGCATGCAAGTCTTGATTACTCTCACTGGCTGCTTCATTATTACTGGAGTGCTTTTCAGGTCCTCTCCTACCTCAGACTTTACTCTTGGTATTTCCCCTTGTTTCAAAGCTCTTCCCACAGGTATTCACCTACTCCCTCATTTCCATGGGTCTTTACTCTCAATGAAGCATTGTCTGGCCAACCTACCAACTGCCCCTCCCCACTATTACCACTTTTCACACTTCCTTTCTTCCTTCTCTGCTTTATATACCTATCTATATTTTACACACACACTCACACACACACACACATACACACACACACACTATAAGTAATATATAATGCTTGTAAATATGCATAAGTACATATTACATAAATAAATGTGTATTATTATACATATACACACATATACATATATACATGGTTTACAGATCGTGTTGTCTAGCTCTCCTACTATAATATAAACTCCATGAGCCCAGAGGTTTTTATATTTTGTCCATTATTGTACCTCCAGCATCTAGAACAGTGTCAGTTGAGTGAATAAAATATTCTGTATGTTATTCATGTATGCACACACAGAAAATAAACTGGATAATTAATTACTTAATTCGCACAATAAAAATCAAAATACCACACTTTAAGGATCCTTAATGAAATATAAGAGCAAGAAATCACCTTGCTAACAGTATAGTATTATTTGTCACAATTCAAAACACTTTAAGTCTCAGAAAACTGTAAGTAATAGATTTTTAGAAAAATATAGTTGTCTTTCTCCACTGATTAGCTTAACTTTTTTGTTTAACAATAACAGTTGCTATTTCTTGTATCCATTCTCACATGTAATGATTTCCTGGGAAAATGCCAGTGCACTGCTTATAAGTAATCTGAACTTTACAAAATTATTAGGACATGACAGATATTCCATTATCTCTGTTGGAAAGATAATTTTAAGCCAATTTATTATTAATTTCGAATCTGAGTATAGAAAATACACTATCTGATGTATGCAACCATTATCTTTTGGTCATATGTAAAAAGACAGGAAGAGCTTTATTCTGTTGGTTGGATAAAGTCCCTTCCCACAGTGCTTGGTATGCAAGAAGTGTATCAAAACAGACACTTTTCTGTGAGATTTTACTTGCAAATTAAGCTTTGTAGACTGATTTGCTTCCTGGTTCCAGTGTATTTTTCTTTTCATTAGTTCACACTGTATCCATATTCAACTTATTGTTTAAAAGACTCTTTTAGAATTTTTAGGAGTGTTGTTTAGATGGGCATGATGTACAATATGTTATTCTAGATTTTGGAGTTGCTTATCACTATTTATTGGAAAGCTTGTTTCTATTTACTGTTCTGCCTACTAATCAGAAAACAGAAAACTAGTTAGCCTTTTCTGTAGCATCGAAAACTTTCATGTGGTTGGTTTACAAAGAAAAACAACTCACATTCTTTTTTATTATTTTACAATGAAAACATTATCTTTATTTTCCTTTAATACCTGTAGGCCCAGTGGACAGTTGGAAAACTGAATTGCCCTTTTTGTGGGGCCCGTTTAGGAGGCTTTAATTTTGTCAGCACTCCAAAATGTTCCTGTGGCCAGCTTACAGCTGTGCATCTCTCCAAGAGCCGGACTGATTATCAGCCAGCACAGGCAGGCCGACTAATGAGACCATCGCTGAAATACTTGTCGCATCCTAGAGTTCGGTCAGGTTGTGACACAGAAACTCTGCTGACAGGTGGCGCCTCCAAAAACAGAAGTCAAGGGCTTTTAAACATGGCTCAAAATAATAATGGCCCTGGAAGATTAACAGAAGCACTCTGCCTGGAGGTACGGTCTACATATTTCGAGATGAAGAACGAAAAACTGCTCTTCAAAGCATCTGATCCGAAATACCAGCTTTTTGTTCCCCAGCTTGTGACTGGCAGATGCACCACAAGAGCTTTTCATAGAAAATCCCATAGTTTGGATCTGAACATCAGTGAGAAACTGACTTTATTACCCACTTTATATGAAATCCATAGTAAGACTACTGCCTATCCCAGGCTAAATGAAATACAGCCTGTTGACCTTTCGGACTCGCCTTTAGAGTCTATTAAAAATAGCTGTTCCTTTCAGATTTCATCAAATTTTGATCCTAATATGCTGCTGCAAAGATTTTCAGTGGCTCCCCGGGAGACCCAGACACAAAGAGGAGGAGAATTTCAGTGTGGCCTAGAAGCTTCTGCAGTGTGCTCTGACCACGCTAGTGCTAACAACCTGGCTTTCCTGATGGACCTGCCCTCAGCTGGCAGGAGCAGGCTGGAGGCCTCGGACCAGGAAGAGCACCTTTCCCCGCTGGACTTCCTGCGCTCAGGCAGCTTCTCCCTGGGTGCCATTAATCAGAGGCTCAGTAAGAGAGAAAGGAGCAAGTTGAAGAATCTGAGAAGGAAACAACGAAGGCATGAAAGATGGCTGCAGAAGCAGGTAATTTTTAAAAGAGTTTACTAAAAATTCCGTATTATCAATGTTGGGGTCTAGGGACAGGAGCTAACATTGAATACTTATAAAAATTTGGTTGTAATGGTTTTTGAAATGACATTTCTGTCTAGGTGAACTTAATTATAATGTATTATAATTGGCATGTTTAACCCTGTCTCTGTGCTCACACATATTTAGAAAATATCTTTTAGTGAAGTTTTCCCCAATTCTGTTAATATTTTAGAGGAACAGTAATCTCATGATACTGAAACTAGATTGTCATATACATTTTAGATTTATTCAAGTTGGGATTTTATTTCAGGTTAATTTGAAGCATAAAAGTTTGTCTACTTAAATCTACTTGTAACCTAGTGACATTCATTCACTTTCATCAGATTTGGCTTAAAATGGATATTTTTAAGCAGCCTTATTTAATTATGTGCCACATGATTCGGGTGTGGTTAACTGTGTTAAATTGTGACCTTTACTGTAATTTTACAAGAGGGAGTGATTCTCTGTGGTTTAAATTTCCCTAGCCATGCTGATATGTTTAAGGGTGGGGTGTGTGAAGGGACTGAACAATGAATGTTAGGTGCTGAGGAAAGCCGGTTAAGCCAATGGATGAGGTGCTTATGAAAACTTGGAAGTTTGAGGACTCGTGTGTTTCTCTATAAACTTTATTTTTGCAAATTTCCTTTATTATTTACTTGTTCACAAAAGATAGTTGTCCTTATTAACTAGTACGTTGAATATTAACAGTGTTCTCAGAGCTAAAATGTAAAAAGCTGCAACTTTACATAATAGTTCATTCCTTTAAAAACAGTTAAGCAAACCCATTAATTGCTTATGATCCTGAATAAAATAAAATTACTGCCTTGAGTGCTTTAGTAAGGTTAGGTATTTCTCATCTTTCGGTTAGATAGTATAATAGGTATAATAGGTAATTGTTTATCACACTTTTGACTCGTTGCTGACAAGAACATTCCAGTTCGGTTTATTTGCAAGTAATGGTGTAATGTAACTTCAAGTAGAATGTATAAATGAATATATTTTAGCACTTTTATAATATAATTTATAGTTTAATTATTGAAGCTGTACAACTCAAAAATTTTATTGAAATTTTTACCTGAACCTGGATAACATATATGTTATGGCAAATGAATATTCAGATGAGATCGGGTGCCTTCAGGGTGGTATAGCTTTAGACAATACATAGATGATGCATTATAGAATCATACACTTGAAACCTATGTAATTTTACTAACCAAGGTAACCCCAATCAATTTAATAAAAATTAAAAAAAAGAGAATTTGCAACTCTAGAATGCTATAAAATAAAATTAGCAGGAATAAAAAGAATATTCAGAAAGAATACCTTTAAAACAATGTGAAGGGCTCCAAAATATTCTCTAAGAAATAGAAATTTAAAAGAAGAATGAGAATATACTTGCTCTGTGTTTATTTATATATATGTATATATATATACATATATATATAAATAAATGTGTGTATATATGCAAATAACATCTTTGCAATTTTAAAAATGTGTTTATTCTTGGGTTATTTCTGAAAATCTCAGCTATATCATTAATCATTTTTCAGCATGGGAACACTGTTTTACACAGTTTAGAGCAAAGCAGAATCACATTGGGAACATTTTTGTGTGTGTGTGTGAAGTTACTTGTATTCATTCACACACATGTGTTTTAACTAATCCGCTCAGCTAACTGACACCTAGGACAGGCCATTACACAGAATGACACGGCAGGATCCCAATAGGTTTGATAGGTTGCACAGGAGCTACAGGCAAACAAATGTCCAATGTCTCCTTAGCAAAGAAAATGTAAAAGTGTGTAGCAACATAGAAATAACAAGACTTAGGGATATGATTGCACATCATGATTTGAACCAGAAAGAAGGAAAAATAATTTTTAATAATCAGTCTTGTTAACTCAAGCAAAAATATAATTCCTAGGAAGAGTTAATATTTGAGATAAATTAATGGCTTACTCAGCTCACTCCATTTTAATAAAGATTAGTTAATTCTGTAAGCATTTCTCTATTATCTCTATTATCTGTTTGGTATGCCATGCCTTTGTGTAATTTCAGTACAGATCCTGTCTTTTATTTTATTTTTTTAATGTGGAAGATAAGCATACAAGATATAAAGAAAAAGTTGTTGTTATTGATGACTTTTTTTTTAAGTTTAAAATGGTTCGTTGGGAAATCAAGATTTCTGACTTTCATTTGACATTTTTAATGCTATTTTGTGCAAACTATACATATTTCTGAGGCAGATACCATTATAGAAAATGTTAATGATGCTACAAAACTTTTATTTAAATATTTGAAACTTAGGAATATAAATGAGATTGATATTGAAGCAGAAAATACAGCCAGTTTTCAGTTTTTGTTCAGCATTTCTTAATTGAACGTCTACTTTGAGAAAAGACAGTGCTAACCTACATTCAGCCAGCAAGCCTTTTTTTTTTATTCAGCATAGTATTTTTGGTTTTGTTTTGTTTTGTTTTTAATTTGCATGCAATAAAATTGATCTAGTCTTTGCATACAGCTCTATGATTTACACATGTGTAGATTCATATAACAACCACCATGATGGGGATATAGACAGTTCCATCACCACCAGAATCTCTCTTGTGCCTTTATAATTGTGCCTTGATTAACTCTTTGTAATCACACCCTTGTCCCTTCCTAATCCCTGAAAATCACTGGTCTGTTCTCCATTACCTTAGTTTTGTCTTTTTGATAATGTTATAAAATAATATAATGTTATAAAATTAGAGTCATGTAGTATATAACCTTTAGAGACTGGCTTCTTTTACCCAGCACGTTTGCCTGTGAGATTCACCTATATAGTTCCTTTTTATTGCTCAATAGTATTTCATTGTATGAATGAACCACCTGTTGGTGGGTTGTTCCAGGTTTTGACAATTATGAAAAGAGCTGTTATAAATATTCATGCACAGGTTTTTGTGTGAACCTGTTTTCTTTTTTCTAGGGTAAATACTCAGGAGTGGGATTGCTGGATCATATGGTAAGTGTACATTTAACTTTATAAAAAACTGTCCAATCGTTTTCTAGAATGGCTATACTATTTTGCATTCCAAGCAGCAATGTACGAGTTCCATTTGCTGTGCAAACACCTGGTAGTCTCAATATTTTTTTTGTCATTTAGTAGATAATGTAATGGTATCACATTGTAATTTTCATTTTTCTTTCCCTAATAATATTGAACACTTTTATGTGATAATTTTTCCATTTGTATACTTTAGTGAAGTATCTGTTCAAATCTTTTGGTCATTTTTTAATTGAATTGTGTTCTTCATATTTAGTTCTAAAAGATCTTTATTTATTTTGGGTATAAATCCTTCATTGGATATGTGATTTGCAAATATTTTCTCCCAGTCTGTGGCTTGTCTTTTTATTTTCTTAGCAATTTTCTTTTTCTGTGGAGCAAACATGTTTAATTTTGATGAAGTCTAATTTCTCAGTTTTTTTTTTCTTTTTATGGATCATGCTTTTGGGGTCATATCTAAAAACTCTTTGCCTAACCCTAGGTAATGAATATTTCTCCTGTGGTTTCTTCTAAAAGTTATATAGTTTTAAGTTTTATATTGAGTAGTATGATTCATTTTGAGTTAATTTTTTTAATAGGATGTGAGGTTTAGCTCAAGGTCCTTTGTTTTGCATAGATATGCTTGATTTTTCCCGCAGCATTTGTTGAAATCACTAGTCTTTCTTCACTGAAATGCTTTTGCAGCTTTTTCAAAGATCAGGTGGCTATATATGTGTGGGTCTGTTTTGGGAATCTATTTTGTTTATTTTTGTGCCTCTCCCTTTGCCAATAGTCCTTTTTCTTAGTTATTGTAGCATTGTAGTAAGTCATCAAATAGGGTACTGTGATGCCTCCAACGTTATTGTTCTTTTCCAGGAATATTTTAGTTATTCTATTTATTTTGCCTTTCCACATAAAATTTAGAATCAACCTGTTTATATTTATAAAAAATCCTGCTGCGATTTTTATTGTAATTATGTTAAATCTCTGTAGATCAACTGGGGGAGAACTGAAATCTTACTGTTGGTTTTCCTAGTCCATGAATATGATATGTCTCCCTTTTTATTTAGGTCTTTGATTTATTTTATCAATATTTTGCAGTTTCTTCATTTGGAACCTATGCATTCTTTGTTAGATTTATACCTAACTATTTTCTTTTTGATGTTAGTTTTAATTAAAAAAAATTTTGGTTACCATTGTATATTGCTAATGTACAGAAATACAATTAATTTTTATTTTGACATTGTATCTGATGATGTTGGGAGAATGCAGATCTTTGACTTTTTTATACCAGATTTATCCCTAAGTATTCATATTTTTAGACTGTTGATAAATGGTATTGTTTTAATAAATTTTAATTTCCAATTGTTCATTGATAATATATAGAAGTACACTTGATTATTGTTTGTTGACCCTATATCCTACAATCTTTCTAATCTCACCTATTAGGAATAGTAGTTTCTTAGTAGATTCCATTGTATTTTTTATTTAGATGATCATATTGTCTGCAGATAAAGACAGCCTTACTTCTTGCTTTCCAATATGGATTTTTTTTTCTTTTTTGTATTATTGAGTTAACTATAACATCCAGTACCATTTTGAGTAGAAGCAGTGAGAGCAGACATCTTTGTCCTTTTTTTGATGTTAGGAGGAAAGCATTGTCTTTCACCATTAAGTATGCTATGTTAGTTTAAAGTTTTTTCTAGATGCTCTTTACCAGGTTGAGGAAGTTTCCTCTATTCCTAGTTTGCTGATAGTTTTATCATGAGTGGATGTCGAATTTTGTCAAATGCTTTTCCTGCATCAATTGATATGATCATGTATTTTCAATGTTAATATTGTTTATCAAATATTGAGCCAGTCTTTCATTTCCGCAATAAACACCACTTTATTATGTTGTATTTTTATTTCTTTATATTGCTAGATAACTATTTGCCAATGTTTTTAGAAGGCTTCTATTTTGTTTCTTTTGCTTCTGTACTTGAAGGATATTGGCCTGAAGTTTTCTCTATTTTTGTACTATCTTTAATTTTGATATCAGGGCAGTGCTGCCCTTATGAAATGAGTTAGGAAGTATTCTTTCCTTCTCTATTTTCTGGGAAATATTATGGAGAAGTAGTGTTATTTTTTCCTAAATATTTGGAAATGAACTATCTGGGCTTGAAGATTTCTTTTTTGAAACATTTTTCACTATGAATTTAATTTATTGAATAGTTATAGGACAATTCAGGTGATCTGTTTCATATTGAGTGAGTTTTGGTAGTTTGTTGTTTTCAACAAAGTGTCTAAGTTTTTGAAATTATGTGTGTAGGTTTCATAGTATTCCTTTATTATACTGTTAATGTCTGTTGGTTCTGTAATGCTATCCCCTTCTCAATCCTGATAATGACAATTAGTATCCTCCCCCACCCGTCTCTCTTTCTTTTTACTTTGCTAGAGATTTATCAATTTTATTGATCTTTCTAAAGAATCAGCTTTGGGTTTCAATTATTTTTCTTATTGTTTTCTATTTTCTTAGTCATTGATTTCGGCTCTGATCTTTATTATTTACTTATCCTGTTTGCTTTGACTTTATTTTCCTTTCCCTTATAAACTTTTTTTATGGTAGAAACTTACATTAGTAATTGGAAATCTTTCCTTTTTTTCATCTAAGAATTTAATACTATAAATTTCCTTTAATTACTGTATTATCTGCATTCTTTGACTTTTATATTGTATTTTCACTGTTGTTCAGTTCAAATTATTTTCTAATTTTCTTTGAGACTTCCTTTGGCCTATGTAGTTTTTTTAGGTGGTTTGTATAATCATGGAAAAAGCTGAAATATCTGCATTTAGAGGAAATTAATAACAAATTTGTCCTGGCACAAAATATTGTCTTCTGTGGATTGAGAGAAAGTAAAGCTGCCACTAGTATGGTTGCGTAATATTTTTAAATAGTTCTATTTAAATAGCAGTTCATTCTACTGTGTTTATGTTTCTTAACATTGGGCCTATTTAATATGAATAAAAGAAAATGTCTCGTTAGAGTCCACAGGAAGCTATTGTGAAAAGAGAGAATTAACCTTATATTTTGTGGAGTACTGTGCATGAGAATATAAAATAATCGACCAAAGATCATTGTTTGTAATAAATCACTAAACCATTTACACTGATTTTATTACACTGTTCGCAGTAAACTAAATGAGTTAAGACTGCTTGTAGTATTACAAGGGAGTGATTTAGGCACTGGGGAGAATAGAGGCCGATAAATTACATTAAAGACCTTATTTATGTTTATATAGAAAAGGTATATATTTTTCCACAAAAGCTCTAAGTTTCATTTTCATGGATTTGTACATAGAGATCATTTTTAATTTTTCACAAATTTTAATGGAGTCCATTTAATCTTTTATCACTTGTTTCATCATCACACAAAATCGTATTTCAGATATATATTTGGTTGTGTTTTTAAAAGAGGATGTTATGTGCTTCTGAATTATAATAGTAACATACATATTGAACAACTGTTCCCCATTCATTCTCTTCCTCCAGCAGAAACATTAATGGTTTATTGAAATAAAAAACCTCAGTAATGAAAATACGACAATTTAATTAGATGACACAGATTTTACTGGTTTTATTAAAAACAGAAACATAATTATGAAATGGTCTTTTAGAAAAGACAATAGATTGAAATAACATTAGACCTTCAGTCATATATTGAGACATATCATTGTTTATTTCTCACTCTACTTTGTGCCAGATTATTGTTTCAGGTTAAGTTTGTCAATCTCTTCATTTTATTAATGCAAAAATATTTAGGTCTTGCTCAGTAGGTTGATACTTCTAATTTGCTTCTACCTCCCAGGAAGTCACCATCCAGTAAGATAAGATATAAATATTCAGTCAGTTTAAATAAACTAAATGTCTTAATTTTGTTTTCCTGTTATTTCAAATTGATTCCAAAATATAGATAAATTATAAGTGGAGCAAAATTACATGGAGTTGATAATGCCTTTACCTTAAGTAATTGTATAGATCTAAATTTTCTAATGCTTAGCAAAATACTCTGTACACAATACGTGGGTGATCAGAAATTTTTTAAACAGGTTTTTTTGTTGTTTTGTTTTAATTTTAGAATACTATTAGATTTATAGAAAAGTTGTGAAGCTAGTACAGGTAGTTCCCATATGCCACACACCCAGTTTCCGCTATTATTGAGATCTTACATAAGTGTGGTACATTGGTCACAATCAACCAGTATTGATACATTATCATTAATTAAAGTTCATACGTTATTCAAATTTCCTTATTTTTTGTCTAATATTCTTTTTCCAGGGTACCATATTACATTACATTTAGTTGTCACTTCTCATTAGGCTCCTCTTGGCTTTGACAGTTCCTCAGACTTCCCCAGTTTTTTTTTTTGTTGTTTTTTTGTTTTTAAAGATTTTTTATTGGGGAATTGGGGGGATGGGAACAGCGCTTGGGAATTGGGGGAAGGGGAACAGACAAGCTGCTGCCATCCTGTTCTTCAGTCCAGTTGTGGAGGACGTCGCTCCACTGGCCCAAGTTGGCACCATCATTGCGCTCTTCCCGGGCAAGGCAGATCAGTCGCCGGCTTCTGGACAGCCGCTCACTGCAGCTGCTGGCCGCTCACGCTGGCTGCTGGCTACACACAGTAGCCCATGGCAACCCACTGCCACAGGGACTGCAGCCTACGCCGTCGCCAGCGACTCAGGGCAGCCCAGCTCCAGGTCGAGCTGCCGCTCAGCATCTCAGCTGTGGAGGGCAGTGTCACTGGCCCTCATATGTGGGATCCGAACCGGGGCCCTCTGGCGTCCCAAGCCAGTTCCCAACCATCGCGCCACTCGGCCGGCCCCAGACTTCCCCAGTTTTTGATGACCTTAACAGTTTTGAGGAATACTGGTTAGGTATTTGTAGAATGTTCCTCAGTTGAGGTTGTCTGATGTTTTTTTCATGATTAGATTGGGGTTATG